AAGATAGATCAATCAGTGATCTTAAGAACTTTGCACTTTACAAAAATCTGACTCTGGTTGTGAATCTCCAAACAGTGCTTTTGTGTCTATGAAAATGAGAACTCCCCACTTTAAAAAAATGCAATAGTTCAGGAGGAGCAAACAGCTTTGGCGTCTTCTGAACATAGATTATCAATGACAGGTTGCCAAGCATGGCTGGCTGCCGCCTCATTTATAAATAATGCTTCTTCCCTCCGTGTCAACATACCCAGACAGGGAGAAAAAATGGAAGAGATTGTTGCAAGAATAATATCGGAAATTCCCATCAGCATCAACACTAGGTGAAAGATACATGCCGGGTGGTGAACATGGTATACCGTTCATACGTATTCGGCAATCTCAATGTAGTGCTCCATCATTCAGTTTCTTGTTTATTTTCTTTTCTGGCCCCTGGAAGCCACAGGATTCTTGAGTGAAGATGAGTATCTGGAGATCACTGGCATCACGCGGGAACAATCAGGAGAGTATGAATGCAGTGCGTCAAATGATGTTGCAACCCCTGTTGTCCGGAGGGTAAAAGTCACTGTCAACTGTGAGTAACCTAAGCGTAATTTTGCTGTGGTTTTTAAGGGATTGGTAGGACAATATTAATAGGGTTGTCACTTCTGTATGCGTATATATGGATTTAAGAATGCCAGGAGACTAGGGAACATAAATGTATGCAGCCACCATACATTGATAGGTGGATCAATGCATGATCCATTGAGCCCAGTATTGTTGGCTTTCACTGGCAGCAGCTTTCTCTCTCAGACTCAAGCATTATATATGGAGATGCCATAATTTGAATGTGTAGGCATCTGCGTTCGATGCATGTGCTTTGCCATGTGAATTGCATGAGGCCTTCCCTAAGAAATATTTATTGCATCGTAACATTATCAAAAGGAGACAGAACTGCAATGTGTCAAATTAGAGATGCTGGTCATTAGGGAAAGAACAGCAAGTGTTGCTTGGGCCAAATGCTTGCATTCAATGAATGGGTCAAGGTCGCATGTATGTGTGTATACTCATTTAGGCACAGATTTGAGGTTCTGTCATGGAGATATGTGCATATGTGTATTCATTTACACATGTTTGTTCACATCCTGTCACATGCATACTAAAAACATACTACCTCCTGCATCACATGGCTTGTATGCATTTACAGTCTTAAGCATGCACACCTATTTTGTACTGTGCAACATGAAAAGTCACAGTGTACTGTGGAGTGAATGGATTTCAGAAGATGTCAGAAGCTCAGTGCCCATGGATATTGGTGGTGATATATTCAGCCATTCTCAGTGGGAATTGTGTGAGAGGGGGCATTTGAAGGGGGGCACAGACCAGAAACTGTTCCAACTTATAAGACTTGTTATATGACTTATACAGTCTTGATTCAGCCTATATCCTTTCCTATTGTGTTTTTGGCTGTGGCGGGGGGAAAAAGGTTGAGAATGGCTGGTATATATGATTTAATTTGTCCAATGACCTCTGCCTTTGCTCACTGAGTATCAGTGATACAGTCAAGGTTCGCTGTAAATAACGAGAATGTTTGGCATAGAGCACTTTGTTTTGGCATCTGAAAGAAAGGATTTTGAAGCTACTGCCTAGCAATGGAAGGCCACAGAGAGTCACAGAGATCAAGCCTCTGCTGTTCCTCTTTCTACAGACCCACCGTACATCTCAGATACTAAAAACACTGGTGTACCAGTAGGACAGAAGGGGATTCTCCAATGTGAAGCATCTGCAGTTCCATCAGCAGAGTTCCAGTGGTACAAAGATGATAAAAGGTATGTGATTGTCATGGCAGGAGCATAGCTGTACACTGCTGTAGGAGCATCCCCTCAAAATCCCTTAGTTATAATCGCTTACCCATTAAAAACATTGAGCATTGATCAAGTCGTTGGGGGAACTCATTAATGTTTGCAGTCAGATATATGGATCCATTTCCTGGCTTTCATGGTGGCGCTGTGGGCTAAACCGCAGAAGCCTGTGCTGCAGGGTCAGAAGACCAAGCAGCCGTAAGATCGAATCCATGTGACGGAGTGAGCTCCCATCGCTTGTCCCAGCTCCCGCCAATCTAGCGGTTCGAAAGCATGCAAATGCGAGTAGATAGATAGGGACCACTTCGGTGGGAAGGTAACAGCGTTCCGTGTCTAAGTCGCGCTGGCCATGTGTCCACGGAAGATTATCTTCAGACAAACGCTGGCTCTATGGCTTGGAAACGGGGATGAGCACCGCCCCCTAGAGTCGAACACGACTGGACAAAAATTGTCAAGGGGAACCTTTACCTTTATATGGATCCATTTCCTGGCTTTCAGGCAAGGGCCTGTGATAGCCATGCAGACCCTTTTCATCAGGACCTGGCCTTCACAAGATTATTTTGGGGGTGTCAGTTGCCCCATATGTAAGGGGAGAAAACCAGCGTTTGAACCATTTATGGGTGGGGTGGGCAGAAGAAGAGCATCCACTATAAAAACAGCTGGCAAAGAAACTGTCTGCCTCGAGATGTTTGCTTTTGGCATAAACGGCAAGGTGGGAAAAGAAAGGATGTTAAACCCAGCAAGCGCAGGTAGTGAAAGTGCCTCTCCTGTGGCCAGCTCCAGATAAATGACCTGCGTAACCACTTCCAGTTTATGTTTTCAATGAAATCTCTTCATAAAGTTACCAGTTGGACACAGAAAATTACATCAGATTTCCCCCCAAGTGGGAGCTCAAATTTAGTTAGGTTGATCAAATGCAGTAAATTATAGGCAGCAATGCAATTTATAGAAACCTGAGCCAGTCCTTGATAACTACTTTATCTTTCATTTTGAACTTGTGAGCATTGTTTTCAATCGCCTCGGATAGATGAAATATCACCTGTGTTTCAGGCTCATCGAAGGGCAGAAAGGGTTGAAAGTTGAAAACAAGGCCTTCTTCTCCCGCCTGACTTTTTTCAACGTCTCTGAGCAGGACTATGGAAATTATACTTGTGTGGCCTACAACCAGCTAGGAAACACCAATGCCAGCATCATTCTGTACGGTAAGTAAGGTGTGCATTGACTTGGTTGTGGGACTGTGAGGTGCTGGAAGGATAAGTCTGGGGGAGGAAGAGGAGAGTGGGGAAAAAAGGGTCTATTTGCAGTGAGGGAGACACAGAATCATTCAATGAGCCTATGGATCAGTATTGTTAACTCCTTGGCAATCATTAGAACCGCTAATGGTGGATGAGATCACCCTAGTATCCTGTCTTTGGAAGAGCATGGGTGGCACATCCTATCTTTGCCATTCATTCTCATGTTTAGTGAAAGACATCACAAGAACAAGACATACATAACTCAGTGACTTTCAGGATGCTGAGTTGTAAGCAAACGCTATTCTCAGATGCCAGTGGAACAAGACATGAGATGGATTGATCTAACATAGATGCAGGCAATATTAATGAAAGGAGCTTCTTGATGGGAGAAGTCAACCCAGAGGCTAGGCCTTTCTTCCATCCTGTTTCTTCCATAGCAGTGGTTCCCAATTTTTTTTTCCAATTCACAGCTCCCTTTCCACCCCGATCCTGGGCATGGGGCACTCTTTCCTCCCTGGGTTTGGCTCTCTATTGCTTTTTTGCTGGTCTCCCTATTGCTCTGCCTGCAAACGTCCTCACTCCAATCTTCTGATGGTCCCCTCTTCCTTTTCTCCAAGCCTCTTGCAAAACGTCCAGAGCTGCTCTCGCAGCTACAAAGTACTGAGTACCATTCTACTCCAAATAATGAAAGCATATGCTATGGTGAAGAGTTGAGTGTTTGGTTTCCCACCAAGGCCAGCTGAGTGACCGCCCCATTTGTCCCCTACTTCTGATACTCAGAACCTGAAGGCTTTATTTGTGTATCATAGAACCAGGTGCAAACTATGGTGCTGGAAGTGGCAAGCATCGATACCTATAGCTTCTGATTTTTTAATAAAAATGAGTTAAAATACTTTTAAACCATTGGTATAATACGGTATCAGTATCAGTAAGACTACTTGGGTCTTCAGTTTGTGGCTGAAATATCCACCACTGGGAATCCACCTATGTAAGGCAAACACAGAGTATACCCTTCCTGCCTCATGCTTCGGTTAATAGCTGTGGATAATCCCATTCTCCATTAATTAATCTAACGTGCTCTGTTGGGAACAGAATTCGGCTTGAGTTTCCATATGGAGTTTCACAAAACAGTGAACTTGAAGCCAAACTATCAGTCCCTGTTTTGCAAATATGTGGCTGGAGACAGAGAAAATAGATCTTTTTAGGTCTTTGGAGTTGTTAAATCAGAGGCATCAAACCCAGCTGTAATTGGTGGATCATTTCACCTTTTCTGTAAGACAAAAGAAAAGTGCATTTAAATCAGTACTCCACACTTAGCCTGGCATATTCCATGGACATAAATCTTGTTCAGTTTGATTCAGGTCATAGAATGCAACTGATGGTTCATGTTATAACAGGACATAATCTTTTTCCTGTTGAGTTTCCTCACTTGATTTCTGATATTCAGTCTTCACTGTAGCCTCTTTCTTTCTGTTCCATTGTTTTTTGCCTGAAAAAATTAAATTAGTATGAAACCTGACCTCTCAAATTCACTGAGGATTGCTCAGGTATCCTGAATAAACAACATCTGGTTTTCACCATGGAGAGAGGATCTTCTGAGACGTTGATTCCAGCTTTGGAATCAAATAAGCATTTTCTAATTATCTATACTGTAAGTAGCCTGTTTTAATTAAGAAAGTACAATCACCTGAGATACCATACCACTTTGGTCTTTTCTAGAAATTTCTTAGATGTTTATCTAGAGAAGTCTCATAATCAGTATTTGTGACTCAGCTAGTGGACACTACCAAAGAGGGCATTAACTGCTAAAGTGGGGGGAGGGGAGGGACCTCTAGAGCTGAGGAGGGCAATTCAAGATATCTTGAGTACATCAAGATGATGTACTCTGTTTGCAGACGTTAATAGTATTGGCAGTTAAATGTTTCTTCAGAATTGTCAAAAGTACAATAGGACCCTCCATATCCACTGAGGATTGGTTCCAAGCCCCCTGTGGATACTGAAAATTGTGGATAAAAGCAATCACTAGATAGATAGATAGATAGATAGATAGATAGATAGATAGATAGATAGATAGATAGATAGATAGATAGATAGATAGATAGATAGATAGATAGATAGCATGGAAAAAGGGGAAAAGGTAAAAAAACTCAGAAACAAATATTTTACATGCATTGCCAGAACTGGCCACTAGACAGTGTCAGAGACTATGCTATGTATTCTTGAATTCCTAGCACAAATATTCAATGCATGATATCTGGATCCCTCTATTGGCCAATTCTGGTAATATATTTGAAAATACTTTTTTTTTCTGGATTGTTTTCTTATGATATATATTTGAAAATAGTTTTTTTTTTCTGGATTGTTTTCTTATGATATTTTTTTATTATTTCCAGACCATGGATAAATGAAACCATGGGTACTGATCCTGTGGATACAGGGGTCATACTGTACAGTGTTCTTTGTTGTGTCTGAAGGCATCAGACTACCTTAAGGCGTCCAGGACTGAAGGGTAGCATGCAATGATTTCTCAACATCTTGTTACTACCTGCAAACATCTGGTATCTGAGGCAAAGAGTGGGCCTGGTCCTATAAAAAGAGTCATCAGAGCCTACAAGCTTGAAGTAGCTTACTTCAACTAGCTCAATCTCGCCAGCAGGTATGGGATTTTCAGATTTCTTAGACTACAAATCCCATAATTCATCATTCTAGCAGCTCCACCTGACAGACCCATACCTACAGACACCTTAACGTGGTTCACCTGAGGAACAGGCCTAGCTGGGAAGGCTTTGGGGCTTAACATAGGTCTAGCTCCACCCTAGCTTCTTATTAAGAAATGAAACTGCACCTATGCAGGTGGGGGCTTGCTTTCTGAACAGAAATCTAGGGCATAGGCTAGGGCTATGCTTCCTCCCAAGACCTTCGCAGGCCATCCCACCAGGTGAGTCACACTTTGGTGTGGGCCTGTCCGATGAAACTCCTAGAGTGGAGAATGACGTGATTTGTCTCACGAGAAATCTGAACATCCCTTGCCTAGTCACTTTGCAGCTTATGCAAAAATTGTGTTTTGCAATGCATTGCCAGTTTATTTATTTATTTTTTTATTTATTTATTTATTTATTTTATTTATTTTCACCCCTGTTAAGAGATAAATGGATCATTTGTTTGTATTTAGTATAGAATGAGGCAAAAAAACAAACAAACCCCTGTGTTTTTGAAGTGGATCCAAATTAGATGATCTACTGTACAAGCATGCTGTCATGTTACATCTGTGAAACCAGTTTTCGTCCTTTAACTATCCCATTCCTCAAGGACTATCACATGGTTCCACATGTTGGGAACATCAGACCTTCTTTCCTATTGCCACCTCCTCTTTACAGTTTTATGGACACTTCTGAGTATGACTCTCTAGCTTCCAAATGTCCTTCAGTTTTTCTGAAGGGTCCATCTGTCCACCGAAATTTCCTGACTCATGTTTCGTGCTTTCATCTCGAGGCATTCCCTCCCCAAGTATATTACTCTTCAGGAAACTAAACAGAAACAATGGTGGCAAAGGAAAAAACATATATATTTGTATACAAACAACAACTAAAAATTTTCAGAGAGCCTTCCCTGACATCGCCACCCTGGAGTGCCGTCTGTTAGGTGCGGCTTTTCAGAATAAACAACCCAAGCGTCTCGGCGATCGGAGGTTTGCTTCCAAGTCGCATTTTCTATTACTGCAACATAAAATAAAAAATTGACTTTAGCAAAGGGAGGCGGGGAGGGCTCTGTAGCCTTATCTGGAAGCTATTTTCTCCACATGCCAGAGCTCTGATTAGAGTGATGGATCCATCTGACACCACTCACAGCTAGGGACAGCTGTAATTGCTTGGCTTATTTGTCACGCTTCTCTACGTTATAGCAGGCAGCACCACCGCTTGCCTTTCGTGCCAGCTGAGAGCCAGGGTGAGGAGCAAACCTTTACTGCCCCATTTTCCCCTGGCCTTCACCCTACTCCAAACCAATCAGAAGAACCACCTCACTCCATCTCTGTGGTCATTCTGACACCGCCTTCTTAAGGGGGCTTACCAGGAGGAATTGACTCAACGTAGCACCACTAGATGTCTTAAACCTTTCTGTATAAAGGTGGAACCTTTGTTTCCGTGGTAACCGGTGCTGACAACTAAGGAACAAATGACTTATGAAATCAAGGCCGAAGATACGGGGACCAAGTATATGATGGAACCCAAAGGGCTATAAAGCCTGAATCTGTGCCCTGATGTGTATTTTAAACAAACTGAACGAGAACTCTTGAGTTCTCTTACTCATGGGACAAAAGGAGGCCTGCATCTCCTGGCCTTGCCATCGATATGACGCAGAATTGAGCCACATCTATATCTGTGGAGTCACACACATGTATGCGAATTATGTGCCTTTACATAGTACAGTGATGCCTCGGAAGACGAAATTAATTCGTTCCGCGAGTTGTGTTGTATTGTGAACATTTCATCTTGCAAAGCGTGGTACTAAGGATTGTGTGATTTAAAACAAAACCCCCTGAAAAGGAAAATAATTTGTCTTGTGAAGCATGGCCATGGAAAAATTTGTTTTGCGAGTCACAAAAAAATCGCAAAACGCTTTCGTCTTGCGAGTTTTCCGTTGCACAAGGCGTTCGTCTTCCGAGGCATCACTGTACGTACTCAGGTAGGAATCTTTGACCTCCCCTCTCATCTTCCCCTAAAGAAGATGTTGGAAGCTTAGGTGCTGTTTTTTTGTGTTTTTTTTAAAGAGAGAGTGAATTTCCATTATCTCCTTGTCTAAATCTCTGGAATGTTGTTGTTCTGAGATATCTGCATTGACATAGCTTCAAACTGCCCCTCTGTAGTGCTGTGTGACGAGCTACACCAGTATTTTAGGTCACGTGTCACTGTTTCTCAGGGCAAAAGTAGAAATTGTATGATAGCTAACTGTCTACCAAATGGGTATCA